GATTCCTTATATTTTATCTTTAATTGTAAGGAATTCTTCACATCTGTTCCTTTACGTGGAGAGTGCAGGCAGAGGGTGGGGACGTCTCTCAGCTGCATGTGTGATATATACATGTGCGTAATGCTGGGACATGATGGCCACGCAGGCTCCGGGCGTAGTGGATGGATGAAGCGGTGCAGCCTGTTGCGGGGAGCGGACTCTGAGTTGAAGGGGTCCACGGCGCCGCTCCAGCGCCCAGACGCCCCGCGGTGGCAAACTGGCGGGATAGCTGACTCAGCCGAGGACAAATCCAAGTTCGAGTGCGCGCCAGGGGAGCCGCGTCTGTCCTCGCCTTAAATCAGACAAGTGTTCAGCGGGAGGATTTATGAAACTTTAGAAAATGAGCAGCAGGCCCCAAAATTCAGGTGGGAAATCCCTAAAGAAAATAACTGTAACATAATTTCACGTGGATTCAGTGTGCAGAAGGTCTGGCTCCGTGTGTTTTAAAAAAGAGTTGTGATATTGTGAGTGTTAGGTGGAAAAGTCCATATGCACATTATTGTTTTTAAAGGTGTGTGCAGTGAGTGATTAGTTATGAAAAATATTTCTTCAGAAGAATGTGTGAACTTAATTTTCTCTTTCTGGCCACATGACACAAAAGTAAAAAACAATGTGGAATTGCAGTATAATAAACACATTAGAGGTCAAGCACCATAATGTGAGTTGAAATATCAATCCAAAATACAGATACATTTTAAAAAGCAAAATAATTCATATATATAGGCATTACAACCTGGTTCTAAAGAGGTTTTTAGGTATGTTTTTAATCCTATGCTTTTAATTGTTTTTTAACCAATAACAAAAATAAAGGAATTAGTAAATTCATGCAACTAACGTGAATGTTACATATATTTTTATATTGTCAAATGCATTTTCTACTCTGTGCGTCTGCAACAGGTGCTGTTTGCTTTAAGGATACAGGAGGTGGGAGAAAGGAGAGGAGGAAGGAAGAAGGGTGGGAGGAAAGGGTGAGAGGGCAGCTAATATTTTAAGATAATCCTCTTGACCTCTTTCCTTGGACTGGTGTAAACTAAGGGCTGTTCACTTACGGATATCATCACACAAGGGCACTCGCAACCACACACACACACACAAACACACACACACACACACACACACATACACATATATATGCACACTATCACGACCACATCCACCAAACAAACTCATGGCAAGACTTATCACATAAGCACATTTTTTGAAGCATGTTTTTTGCAAAGCATGCACTCACACACACAATGACACATGCGCGCACACACACACACTCACACACACACACAATGACACATGCGCGCGCACACACACACACACACACACAGACAGGACACTATCAACTACCAGGGGAGAGGGGTGGGGAGAGGTCAGCCTGGAGGTCAGCGAACATGGCTGTTTTCACACCCACTTTACAGCCATGACTGCATTCCTCTCCTGCTGCGTCCCATTTCTCTCTCCCTCCCTGCCTCCCTCCCTCTCACTCATGCTCTCTCTCTCTGTCTCACACACACATACAAAAACACACTTGATAACAAGCATATTTAACTGACGAGTGCACACAGCATATACCCCCAGCTGCTTTCATTTTCTCTTGCACAGAAACAGAGCTTTCCCTCGCCATCCCCTTCTTAACCCACTGTCACTATCATAGTGGGCTGCGTTGATTACTTCTCATGCAGGTCTATTTTCTCCCTCGCCTCCCTTCACATGTTCCGGCAGAGTGGTGCAACGATGGCTTGAACTCTATTTCCAACAAAAAAGAGGCTGTGTTTATTTTTCTGTTTGATTGATTAGTGAGAAGGAAAACAATACTAACACGGACTATCAGCGAACAAATGATGTGTTTTACAAGAGAGATGAAAATTTGAGGGACTGTCGTGTACTTGCGCTTATTTCCCCTCTTCTTCACTGTCTCTTACATCTCTTTCAACTCTCTTTGTTATTCTCGATCATTATTGTATTGCAGGTCCTTTTCTTTCCCTCTAAAACCATTTAAATTTGACATTTTATTGTCCAATTCAATGTTGGCCATGGTTCTTGTAATGCCTCTTTGATGCATAACTGGTTTCATCAAGGGGCTTCAATTTTTAGAAGTCATTCGGACAAGTGTCTGGCCTCGAGCCCAAGAATTTGCCCCTTTCACACAGTGAATGGTGTACGCTCACACAGCCAGGGTCACAGCAGGGTGAGATGGGAAGGCTGAGTAGATGGTTCATGCCTTTTTTTTTATGTTATTGTTCTTTTGCCAACAGGACAATTAGAGAGCACATCATCACACAGACTCATTAAAAAGATGTGAGAGTGTGCCTCAGTTTGTCTGGTGTCAACACGGCAGGTCAGGCATGCCAACAGCCAATTATTACCATGAAAACCCAACAGGATCCTTTGAACGTATTCTCTTAAAAAATATATATCAATTAGGGGTTTGTGACAGCTGAAAAAAAAAAAGCCACACTGTTTTTGCAAAGCATTAATTAAAACAATCTAATCTCCTTTTCTTATTAGAGGATCTGCTGCATCCATTGTATTAGAATTTAATTCACTGGTTTATGAGATGCCCTCACATCAAAACAGAAATAAAACAAAAGCACAGACAAAGTGGCACCTTACAGGTATTATGGATGCTTTTAATACCATAAACCATAAAAAAGGAAACATTAAATCTGCTCTCAAGACACCTTTTAAAATCATACAAGTATAGTATTCATACCCTTTTACTATGCACTGCGAGATACTGCATCCTGCCTAATGTTATGTCTGTTTACAGAGATACAGGGCAGCATTGGGATACAGTAGATCAAGCAGCGAAGGGGATCTGGGTAATGATCTATTCAGACTGTGTCGCTCCAAGTCTCATTGATATACAGCTCACACGTCCATAAATATGATGCTCTCTCACAATCCCAGGCAGTAGGATCCTTGTCAGATGGAGTAACAGAGAGCGCCGTGCGTGCATCGTGCCCCATAACCCCATTCACACTATCATATGCTCCAAACTGCGACTGCAGATTAGGCCGAGGTTACATATGAGGAGGAAATAGGATATCACCTCTTTGGAGCACAGATGACAATTTTTCATGGCTCTTTCAGGAGATAATGGTCATAATTCTACTTCATGCATGAGGAGATAGGTTCTATTAAGAATTACAAACAAGCACCTGGCTGTAGTTGTCATTTGATCACATAAACTACTCCCAGACATGCACTGGCCATTATTCTTCGGTCAGGGTTGTATGTAAGACAGGACATGTCCCAGTTGGTTGATTGGGACACCTTCTAAAACTTTTCCTGCCAGCTGCCTAGTAAAATATCAAACTTGTCAGAGTGAGCCTGTGTGAGAATACAGCAGGAAAATGTGCAGAGAATTCACAGTGAGCGAATTAGATTAGATTAGATTAGATTCAACTTTATTGAAAAACAAATCAAATATAAATATCTCATGATGAAAAAGAGATCAGCATGCATGCAGAAGATGCCAATCAAGACATCAAGACATCAGAAAGACGTTGAGATTCACGTTGAGATGCTTTTTGCGATAAGGGCAGACGCTGGTGTTGATGTCCTGTAAACAAAACAAAAACATATGATTTCCGCATCAGAAATGTATATTTCCTGCCTCCTGCTTCTCCTGCTGCCTTCTCCATATGTGAAAGGCAAACTCCGAAAAATGTCCGGGCCCAATTTTCCCGCACATTTTTCAAAACCTAATGGTCTGTATCCTTTGTATTCATAAACTTGACACAAACCTTTCTCATTACATCTGAGCTCATCAAGAACATTACCTCCCCTCTCAGTCTCGCTCCCTCACTCGCTCTTTATTCTCTGCCGCCTCCCTCTTTAGGATGCATATTAGATTAAAGATTTTATTGTCACACTCAATGCACTTAGAGCATTGGCAAACTAAATCACAGGGAGACAGCATGTCATAGAAGAGACACCTTGGGTTGACTAAGTCATGACGAGCCAGCACAAATCGATGAGCGGGACTAATCGGATGTATCTGCTGCGACGGGGACCTGCCCTGAATCCAAATGATGGACACCAGATGGGGACTGATGTTGCCATTAGTACACCATCAGTGCAGTGGTCGGAGTGATGTAAGGACAAGGACTTCCTTTTCAATGAGGAATCAGGTTTTCAATAGTGACAGCCAAGGTCCTTCTATTCATAGAGAGAAAGAAGGAACCTACGGTGGCTTCCCGGTGCTTGTGCAGAGAGATGGAAAAGGGAACGATATGAAGACAAATTCTGTGTGGGTGCATTTATTCCTACGAGGCCCAAATGTCCACAAGGATAAGGACGGAAAAAGGACAAGGTCAGAAAAAAGTTTGGAGGAACTTTCCAAATTTATAAGATCATTCAGACTCACATGATTCTCAAGACAATGCTTCTTCTAGGGTTAAGGTTTGGTTAAG